ACAGAGAGTTTTTGTTCTCCTTTTTTTTTTTTTAACTTAAAAAAAGCCTGAGTTTGGCATTTTACATTTCTTATATCCCCAATCTAATTATGTTTCCTAGGGTTATGAGTGATCCTTGCCAATCTTACTTTCCCTCCTGGAGGCCAGAGGTCTCAGAAGCCCCCCCACACACACACACTCTGGCCTCATTTGCTCTGTGGCTGATGCTTGGTGAGTTAGGAGCCCAGAGGATGAAGAATGGCAATTATGATCTTCTGGGCCTGCACTGCTCTGATCTCCACCCATCAGCTTTCTGAACGTGCCTGGGAGTGTTTAGAGCGAGATGCAATGAGACAGGTTGTCAGAGGAGAGCCGCTGTGTGGGGAGCAATGGTTGAATGGAAAATTAGTTTTTCTTTCCTGGTAATTGTTTTGACATGAGTAGTAATTAGCCAACAGCTAACAAGACCAGAACTGGAGAGAGAACAAGAGATTGGATTAGGGGCAGGGTGCCCCTGCATTTGGTATTCCCTGGCCATTCTTAGTCTACCCGACTAGGAGCCTGGGGGTGCTGGGCTGGGGGACTGACAGCAGCCTATTGGGGGTGCACTTTGAGGTCCTGTGAAGGGGGCAGTTTGGGGTCAGGACAGCCTCTGCCCTCAAGGAGCTAGGAACAACCTTGGTTTTCAGGGACCCAGGGTCATCAAAGACGGTGACGTTACCTGCCCGGGTGAAAAACGTGTGCGTTTCATTTCCATAGACTGAACTGTGGTTCTGTTTTGCATTATCTTTCTCTGGTTTGAGGATCAGGGTGATGTTGGTTTTGTATAGAGGCTGGGAAGCCGGCCACGTTTCTATGCTCTGGTATGGTTTGTGCCTGGGTGTTTCTTTCTTGAAAGCCTGAACAAATTTGCCTATAAAACCGTCTGGGTTCAGTGCCTTTGATAGGGAAGTCCTTTTTCAAAGATTTGGCTCTTTGGGGCATTTCTAGTGTTCCTTGAAACCATGTTGATAATTTGAATCTTATGAAAAATTTGTTTTTTTATTAGCATAGAATTAGAAATCATATGCTCCTCCATTAAAAAAAAAAAAAACTCTACTAGATTTGTTACTTTTATCTGTTCTGGTTCCCAATTCTGAGCATTTGTGGTCATTCTCAATTTAAGATGGCTCATTGCCTGTTTTCATTGTGATTCTAACCCCTCCCTGCTGCCCAAACACACCACACACACCAGACACACACACCACATCATACACATACCACATATACACACATCACTCCATATACATACCACACACATATATCACATACACCACACACACACACACACACCCCCCACACACACCACAACATATACACCACACACACACATCCCACGACATACACACATCACACATATACCACATACACCACATGTACTACACACATACCTCACACACCACACACATACACCACACCACATACATCACACACATACCATACACATACACCACACACAGATAAAACGCATACATACACCACAGACACCATACACCACACATACCACACACACCACACACCAAACACACACACCACACCACATACATCACACACCACACACATTACACACCACACACATCACACACCACATGCATTACACACCACACACATTACACACACACACACACCATACACATACACCACACACAGATAAAACGCATACATACACCACAGACACCATACACCACACATACCACACACACCACACACCAAATACACACACCACACACATTACACACCACACACATTACACACACATACCATACACATACACTACACAAAGATAACACACATACATACACCACACACATAACACCCCCACACACCACCCACCCACAGCCAGTGCTGGGTCGCTGATGTCACCCCGTTTCCTCACTCACTAATTCATGTTGATATTCCTTTTATTTTGTTTGGCCTTTTATACTTTACTAAAATCTTAAGTTGAATGTTCAGTCCATTGATTTTGATTCCTTTGGGCTTGGTGATGAAATAATTCAGGCTATGGACCTTCCTCCCAAGGATGACGCAGGCTTTGTCCCACGGGTATTCATGTTTCTCCTTATCATTTTCTACATTTTGCGTACTAACAGCCTTCCATTCTCTTTCCACCTGACATCACTTATGAGGACATTTTCTTAATTTTCCAAGTGTGTGGGAGTTGGGAGATTGGGAACTTTGTATATCTCTTTCTTTTTTAATTATTAACATCTACTTTTATTGCTTTCTGATCAAAGAATGTGGCCTGTGTTCTCTATGCCTTTGATCATTTATTTGACAGTTTATTTGTGGCCTAATTGTGGCCAACATTGTGAGTATTCCGTGGCTTCTTGGAAAAAGGTGCCATCTTTTTTTTTTTTTACAGGGTCTGCTGTTGATACGTCTACTCGTCTACTTCAATCAGCCTTTTAAATTAAATTATTCGGATCTTACTTCTTCTTATTCTCGTTTATTCGTCAATCCCGGACTGAGAGCAGTGTCCTGAGGTTCTCTCCGGTTGTCTTGGAACTTTCTAGCATTTGTGTCTTACCCCTGTGGGCTCCATGCTGTTGGATTAGTGAAATCTCTCCAGTGTGATGGGATGGAGTTCTCATGGGTCCAGAGCCACTTTGGCATAGCTTTAGGCCCACCTGAGCAGAGTCCCCCAGTACCCTTGGCACCCCTCTGGAGCCCTGGCCTCCGCTTGTTAAACTGCCTTTTCGYCTGGGTTGATGTGATTGGCCTTGGGCCATTGTCCTGAGGGACATGGGTGTGGATGAGGCCCAAGCTGGCCACATGGATGGATTCTTCTTCCCCAAGCCACTGCACTAGGACCGTGCTCTGTACCAGTTTTCTCTTTTCTTGGTGTGTGCGTGTCCACCCTTCAGGAACATGGACAGACCCTGTGGATGGGGGAGAAGCCAGCGGCCCATCGGCACCCTGCTGAGGGTGGCCTTGCTAGCAGAGGGCTCTGGATTTTCACTGCCAGCTTAGAGAGTGGAGGACCCCCCCCCAGTGTGGGAAGGGTTCCTCCTGACATGGTCCTCACCATCCTAGTACCCATGGTTTCCTTCCAGCTCTGGCTGCTCCATTTTGGTTGGATATCCCTTATCTAAAGTGCTTGAACCAGAAATATTTTAAATTAGGGATTTTTTTTAATTGGAATATTTGCATATATATAATGAGATATCATGGGGATGGGATCCAAGTCTAAACACAGAATTCATTTATGTTTCATACTCACCTTATACACGTAGCCAGAAGGTCATTTTATACACTGTTTTCCATAATTTTGTGCATGGCACAAATTTCATGGGGTGGAATTTTCCACTCAGTGCATCACGTGGGCACCCTAGTAGGCATTGGGGATTCTGGATTTTTGGATTAGGGATGTGCAACCTGGAGTCAATGTTAGTGACTCTTAGCCATTTTCTCCTTGACTTCCTGCCTTACTGAAGAGCTTTCCCAAAAAGAATTGTGACACCAGTTATATATCTTGGGATATCAGTGGGAATGTCTTCCTCCAATTCTGACCTGCACTATCTATATGTGTTGGTGCTAGTTCCAATCCCAGGACATAAGGCTGGCTGGCTTTCCTGGTCTCCAGAGGTTGTTCAAACTGGTGGTACACAGGGATTAAATTCAGGGACAAAAGTACATCCTTCCCCGTCGTCCCCATCTCTCTCTATTCTGTTTTAATGAAGTACTTCATTACCCACAGATATCCCTTTTGCAATTACCGCCTCATGGGACTGTCAACACCAGAAAAGTCGTTTTGGAGACTCAGTAGAATTACCCTCTAAGCTCATGTAACTGTAGCCAGGAGAGAGCCACACCGCCTCTGGGAACTGTGACTGTCTGGGTCCCAGTGCCAACTCAGGATGTCAGGATCATGCAGCAGCATGGAGGGCCCGAAGCAGGCCAAGCGTTGATGCCACAGAGATCAGACACTACAAACCAGGGCTCCCCTGCCCCCACTTGGAGAGCAGGTTTATCCACACACATTGGGAGCATGAGAAGTGTCCCCCAAGAGGCATACGTCCATAGAGGGTAGAATTTTAGAACCTCTGATTATTTTCATTTTAGCAATAACAAGATTTGAGAATGTCTGTATATCATCACCCAGCTAGTAATTGGCTGAGCCAAATTTCATGCCATCCAGTCGATCTAGTTACCATTCCGTCCCAGGGGTTGAGCATCCCTGGCCCCCAAATCTAAACTCGGAACCTTTTTGAACATCCCAAGACTTCCGGATGTTGGAACTTTTCAGATTTTGAATTTTGGAGGTTAAGGATGCTCAACCAAGGTTGAGGCAGGGGGATCTCAAGTTCAAAGCCAGCCTCGGCAACAGGGAGGCGCTAAGCAACTCAGAGAGACTCTGTCTCTAATAAAATACAAAAAAAAAGGGCTGGGGATGTGGCTCAGGGGTTGAGTGCCTTGAATTCAATCCCTAGTACCTCCCCCACCCCCACTCCCCAAAAAAGGATGCTCAACCAGTGTCTAAAGTCTATGCAAGTATTTCAAAACCCGAAATTCTTCTGGCCCAAGCATTGCAGATCAGGGACACCCAATCTGTCCCTACATCACACTGTTCTGAGGGTGGAGAAGTTCTTTAGAGAGAAAGGCAAGATATTGTAGGAAGGGGATGAAGGGACCAGCTGACCCCACAGAGAGAAAGATGTGACCTTTGACCAGAACCCAAGACTGCAGCTGATTGGTGGCCTCGGCCATTGGACTTTATGACCTCGCCTCTTGTTAAACACCCTCCTGAAAAGAAATTCGGCCCCCCTGACCATTCAGTCACTCGGGTGCTATGGATCAGACAGAAGTTTCCTAGCCATTTCCAGCTCCGCAGCTAACCATGAGATCCTGAGAGACCATCTTAGCCATGTGAGGGCCTCCCAGAACCCAGGGAGTGGTGGGAGAAGGGACTGGAATGGCCAAAAGTCGGAGGTGCCTCTTTGTGGCCCCCTCACAGCATCTGAGCCGTGTCTCTGTCCCCGCAGTGAATGGATACCACGCATCAGGGACCCCAGCGCACCCTCCAGAGACTGCCCACATGAGTCTCCGAAAATCCACCGGTGATTCCCAGGTAAGGGGTCCCGTYGAGGGAGGCCTAGGAAGGGGCCCAGGAAGGGTTTGTTGAGAGGGGGATGTCCATGGGAGTCCATGGCTCCAGCCCAGTTCAGACTCCTAGGTGAAAAGTGACTGGTACCTCCGGGGTATTCTAGAGTTTCCTGATGGGCAGAGGGTTGGATCATGGGAGTCTGTCTTCTAAACCGTGAGGGTGGTTTGGAAGAGGGGGTGATAGGGTTCTAGCTGTCAGGACAGAGGGCTCCATTCTGCTGGCTGCATTCTTTGACACATACAGCCCAGGTTTCTCTTCACTTTTAGAGTGTGGACAGGCGAGTCATTGCCCCCTTTCCATCCCTGACTTATCTCTCCCACCCCCAGAGGTTACCCACAATGGAGTTGATGAGTGCCATTCCATCATCTCACTTGCTGAGCCATYGTAGAGATAGCTAGAGGACGGAAAGCATTGGCAGTGTTTCACAATCCCCAAAGCACTTTCTCCTTCGCTGTCTCAGTTGACCCTTGTACAAGGGCACGAGGTAGAYGTCAGTACCATTCCCACGGTGTATGAGACCACGGAGGCGCAGACCGGTGAAGTGACTTGTGCAGGCTCAGGCAGTGACTCAGGTCAGACCTGGACCTGAAACCCTGTCCGTGGTTTCCCCGGTGGTTCTAAAGCTGCTCTAAGAGGCTGAGGGCTAGTCTTAACTTTGTCTACCCACAAGTTATCAAAAGAAGAGGTTTTCAGTGAACCTTCCAAATTCCACCAGGCTTTTCTTTTTTTTTTTTTTTTTATTTTGGAATGAAAATGCTAGAACCCAGGGGTGGTGACAATGATGATGACTGAGGATGATTATGACGATAACATTGCTGATATTGACAAGAGCTGCTTATTCAGTGGCTTCAATGTAGCAGCCGGTGAAAGGAAAAAAAAACCTTGTGTTCTCCTGGTCCCATCAATTAAAATGTGACACTCCTACACAGGCAAGAGTGTTAATTTTGGGAAAATCATTAAGTCGTTCTCAAGAGGCTGAGCATTGGCTGGGCTTAGGTTCGGTTGAGTTAGCTCTGGCAGAGAATTTGGACGGGTCAGGACTTCTTAAATTGGGAATGATGTCTGAGTCTTCTGGGCCTCTTGTTAAAAATATAGATTCTGATCCAAGAAGTCTAGGATAGGGCAGGTATTTTCAGCCAGCCCCCAGGCAATGCTGATGCTGCTGGGGACTGAGCCTAGTAGGGATCTAGGCTTAGTCAGTAGTACACAGAGATGTGTCTGTCCTGCTCACCCCCCTGCTCATAACACCTGGATTTGTGTGTTTGCTGCTGAGCTCCCAAATAGCCTCCCCCAACACTCTGTCAGTCGGCTGTAAGGGAAACTCACTTGTCATCTGACTTGCAAGTATTTTCTGAAGAAATCAGACTAAGTTCTGCTTGTAGGTTTTTTTCAATTTCATTTTTTCTTTTTGTTTTGTTTTTGGTACTGGGGATTGAACCCAGGGGTGCTTAGCCACTGAACCACATCTGGAGCCCTTTTTATTTTTTAAAATTTGAGACAGATTCTTGCTCAAGTTGCTCAGGGCCTCACTAAATTGCTGAGGCTGGCTTTGAACTTGTCATCCTCCTGCTTCAGCCTCTTAAATTGCTGGGATTATAGGTGTGCCACCACCACACCTGGCTGCTTATAGTTTAATAGCAAGAAAAAAAAAAAACAAAAAACACTGGTGCTACCCTGAGTATCATCAGGAAGAACATTGGAAACAGCTCCTCCTTCTTCCTTCCCTACATGACTCCCTCTTTGGTACGAAGTTGTTACTCAACCATTTCAGAAAATGTTGACTGGCATAACTCATTTATAACTCAGAATCTGATTTCATAGCCTTTGACATAGGGATTTCTCTTCCAGAGTCTGTTCTCGGAATATATTCAGGGATTCTGATTTAGGCTTCAAGTTGTTCTCTCGAGCACTATTTATAGCCCTGTAACATTGGACCTGACCTAATTGTCCAGCAAGAGGAGATGGGGAAATGGATTGTTATCCTTGACATCCAACCAGCCAGGGATACTGTGCAGCCATTCAAAAAGCATTCTTCTAAGGAAGATTCAATGATTGGTGGAAATGCTCACAACTTAACATCAAGTAGGAAGAGCAGAACACAAGTAATATATATTATTAGTCTTATTTGTAGGAAGAAAACCTACACTTATGTGAAGAAAAACGAGGAAGAGAAAAGAAACCAGAACATTTATGATGGTTTTATCTGCATCTAAGACCATGAGAACATTTGGTAGACATGAGGGAGACTTTTGTTTGTTACWGGTAGGGACTGGGTGCTAATGGAATCTAGTGAGTAGATGCAGGGACACTGCTAAATAACCCAAAGTGCACAGGATAGCTCCCCACAGCAAAAGATCACCCAGGATGAAAATACAAGTTATGCTGAATTTGCAAAGCCTTATCAAAAATCATGGGTAATTTTTACTCTCATTACATTTTTAACTGTGTCTCAAATTTCTTAAAATGAAAACATTTTATTTTTATAGAAGACRTTATAGGCTTTTGTTTTTGTAGTACTGGGGATTGAACTCAGTCACTTTACCACTGAACTACATGCCCAACTGTTCCTTTACTTTTTTGAGACAGGATTTCCCTGTCCTCACTGCCCCGCAACTTGTGATCCTCCTGCCTCAGCCTCCGGAGTCACTGGGATTGCAGGCATGCGCCTCTGCACCTGTCTTACTACAGTTTTCTATTATAAAACATAAAAGCAGAAAGGGAGATACTAGTATCAGGGATTCAGTTCTTTTAGGCTGTGAAAGGGTAACATTTGGATATGAAAGCTACTACTGTTTGTCCTAGTTTGTGATCCTACAGAGTTGGTTATCCAAAAAGGTGCTAAAGGCTGAACATAAAATTTTAAGGTTTGGTTTTTGCAGATGGCAYTACCAACAATGGATCCCTAAGTATACCATCTCGTCTAGCTTGCAGGCTGATTCACTCACACCACCCTAGGCTGTCAATCATAACTCGTAACAACTCCACTCAATTATTGAAACATGCATCAATGAACCAACAAAGGAACACATGCCCATTTAAAAGGCAGGGTGTGGGGTATATAGAATGGTTTGTTCAAGGTTACAGAGCTCAAACTAACAAACCCCAGAAAGTRTGGTGTTCACTTTTCTGTCACCTGCTAATTGCCCCTCACTGAGCAGGCTAATGGAGATTCGCATGCTGAGGGGAGGAGGGCATACCTAATTTTCATGGAAACCAGGAGTGTGTATGCACCATGCCCTGTCATGAGTAGATCCTATGGCTGAGAGCCCCAGTGGTTCTTGAGGGTCCTGCCTCTTCCTATGCCCAGCCTGGGCCCACCTGCATGGGTGGGCACAGGTGGTGGTGGTGGTGGTGGTGATCTGGTGCCACCCAGTGGAGAGTTTCAGTAATGCAACTCTATAGCAGTGCACAGAAGATAAATGGAGACCTCCTGACTGGGAGGAGGGGTGGGGGATCAAAGGCTAATAGTCTTGCCAGCCTTTGCCCACGCATGGACAGGTCCTTTTGTGATCCATTTCTCAGTTGTTCTGACTTGCCATGAACTTTCCCAGGAAGACCCAGGGAAAAAAGAGAATGGGACTTGGGACGTGGACACTGAAGGCACCCATTGAAGACTGGAGTTTAAGGTGGAAGGTGGGGGTGGGGGGGTGCTGCATGTCTGCCATGCTCCGCCTCCCCGCCAGTTTGGTGCCGCATGTTCCCCTGGGCATTTACATCTTTGCCAGTCACTGAGACACAGAAGGATGTGGCGCTTGCCCTTATGAAGTGGGGGTCTGTAGATTTTATAATGATTATGTGATTTCAGCTGTGATAAGGGCTGGAGGAAATGTATGCCTGGTGGTGTGTGGGTGGGTGTGGGGGGACCTCAGGCATGGAGAAAAGATACTTGGYTGAAGACTGAAGTATGAGCTCAGCTTGGCTCGGCAAAGTGATGGGATTAGGACCCAAGCAGGAGGACCCCAAAGATTATTTGTAGGGAGTGGGAACAGGCTGTCAAGACATCMGGAACAGGGTCTTGCTGAGTCACTTGAGAATGGTCCACTGTCGTTGAGCAGGCAATTTGCATATGCCACACCCGTCAGTCCTTAGGGTGACCCAAGAGCTGCCCARGTGCAGTCAGGACACCATACTGGGGAGGGGTTTAAAAAAATAAATGGAAAGGAATTCTCTGGAATTACAGACAAAGAAAATTTTAAACAGATATTTATTAAGGGTATTTGCACACTTTTGCACCAGTGGAGGTTACACTCTGATAAAGTCCCACTGACCTACCATTTAGCTTCAGCGATTGCTGGTGCTTGGCTTGTCTTATTAACCTCATGTCATTTATGCTCCCCTCTGTACCCCTGATGCCTCTCCCCCAACTTTTAAAGCAAATTCCTGGCATATTGTTTTAAAAAAAAAAACATTTCAAAATGTATCTCGAGCAGGAAAGACAACATAATGCCATTATAACATCTAAGAAAGTATAAATTTGTGTACTAAGCCTGTACGTAAATTCCTTAGTTGTCCCCAGAAGGCTTTTCTAGTCTACTCTTCTCCCCAGTCCAGGATCCATTCAGGTTTCACATGTGGGCATATTGGCTGCCCTCTCTTTAGCCCGTCTCTCTCTGTTTCTCTCTGCGTCTCACAAACAGCTTTGTCGGGATATAATTTACAGTATAATGCACTTCTATTGTTATTAATATTCGTATTTCGGTACTGAAGATTTAACCCGGCGATACTTTATCACTGACCCAGGTCCCCAGTCCTTTTTTTAAATTTTTTTTTTTTTTTTATTTTGAGATAGGGTCTTGCTAACTTCTGAGGCTGACCTTGAACTTGCGATCCTCCTGCCTCAGCCTCCCCGAGTCGCTGGGATTACAGGCATGCGYCAATGAACCCGGCTACAATTCACCCATTTAAAAACGTATAATCCGGTGGACTTTTTTTCACATATTTAYCGAGCTATACAACCATCATCACAATGAATCTTAGAACATCTTCATCAATCATCCCAAAGAGCAACCCCTCCCCCCCAAGCCTTAGGCAACCACTGTTCTACCTTCTGTCTCTGTGGATGTTCCTGTCCTGGACATTTCGTGTACACGGAATCATGCTATTTACAGTCCCAAGTTGCTGTCTTCTTTCACTCTTGGTGTTTTCCAGGGAGGTCTGTGTTGTAGCACAGGTCAGACCTTCTTTCCTATGGCTGGATGATACCCCTCGTAGAGCTAGACCATTTTATCTATATCCTCCCTTTAATCTCTCTTCATCTAGGCGRGTCCCTCACACGGTGTGGTTTTTTGTTGTTGTTTTTTTCCTTTTGTCTTTTCTCACATTGGCTTTCAGTCTATTTTTTGAAGAGTCCAGGTCAGTTGGCTCACAGAATGACCTACATTCCTGATCTAATTGTCTTTTGCTTTAGAGATCCAGGTTAGGCGGTTTGGGCGAGGGAGCCACCAAGTAGGGCACACTGAGTTCTTATTACATCTTACAGGGAGGCACCGCCCAGGCTTGCAACCTGGAGATGGAGAGGCTGAGTTTGAGCTCTTGGTTAGCATGGTGAGGACCAGACATCCCTTTCTAAATATGGCAATAATCTGTGGGGTGATACATAGTCACTGTCCTGTTCCCCAACTCTCTTCTCCCCTCCCCCCAGGGCTTTGAACCTCTGCAGTGATTCTGGCTTTAACCCCTTTTGACATTGGGGTTTCTACATGGTGATCTTATTCCTTGTGATTTTGATTGGCACTCTTTTGAATGAAGGTTCCTTCCTCCCACTTTGGAGTTAGCATTGAAATCATTCCTATTTCTGCTCAAAGGGGGGCCCAAATGTGGCCTGTGGGAGCCCCTTTCAGCTGGCCTCCCATGTCCCTGTGTTTTATCTTTGTGAATATTCTTACCTCCTTGCACAATAAGATGTTCCAGGTCTACCTTGCATTTGGAATCAGTCACTTTTCCAAGAAACTGGGGGTTCATTTTAATAGGAAATAGTATTTAGAATCCAAATTGCAGCTGGTGAGTGTTTTCACTGTGGTGAGGGGTCATTCCTCTGGGTCCTTTCCATGGCGTACTACAAGGAGGGGGTGTGTAGATATGATGTGCATGAGTGTGTGTGTATGCACATCCATGATGATGCACGTATGTGACGTGTGGACGTGTGTGTACGCACATCCACGATGATGCGTGTATGTGACGTGTAGACGTGTGTGAAATTGGAATGAATAGTCCCAGGTCATCAGGGRTAAGCACAGAGCCTGGTATGGCCTAGGGCATCCCCTGATACCTGATTCACACTGGTTTTAGTGATACACAGCTGATAGGGCAGAAATCAGGGTAGGTACTGACTCCCACACTTAGAAGCATAATTTGTATTCCTGTCCCGGCCCAAGTTATAAAGGAGGAGGYGACCCATCTCATTCCACAGAGTCTTATACACGTGATCCCAAAGTAAATGCTCATGCATGATGGAGATCTTTGTCGGCACCCTCCCGCCACAAGGGCTTTTGGAAAACAAGATGCTGTCTCAGGTCTCAAAGCAGAGAGATGGCGGAAAATAGAGGCAAGAATTATGCAGGCTTAGTTTCCAATTTCCACAAGGTCTATTTACTAGTCTTGTGACCCTGGATGATGGTAGCTTCTGCAAGCCTCAATATCACGGTCTGTAAAACAGATGAGAAGCCATGCAACTTGCTGGGGTTGTAGGATTCAATGAGATTAAGCCTGGCAAATGCCAAGCCTGGTACCTGCCATAATAAGCAAGCCCTCACTAGATGATGGCTCTTGCAATGCTCCCTTCCCCTCAGTTATCTTTCTCCTCCTTCTCTGCATCCCCTTCATCATAGCATCCATATGCAGACACAAAGACTATGGCCGAGGCTCCCAGGGCCCTGGTTGCTCCCCTGGTGAGCTGCAGTGGGGATGGCGTAAAGTTACTCCATGACAGAGAGAGTGCAGACCACCGAGATTGCGCTCTGGTGGCAGGTATGTGCTTGGCCAGTGTCTGCGTAAGAGAACCTGTGGAGGGACTTCTGCCCCTGTCTCTTCTCCTTGGTGGCCAGCACCTGGGGATCCTGCCATGTGGCCCCCTGCCTGACTCCTTCGTCCTTGAGCAGTTTTGGCAAGTGCCCTGGAACAGCACTAATGGCATGGGGGAGGGTACGGGGTGAGCCAGCTGGATGGGTTGATGCCTTAAAAATGTCTACGGAAGCTCTAGTTGACCACAAGTCTGACATTGCCCCAGAGCCTTCTGGGGTGGCCAGGCAGTTAACCCTAAGGAGAGGCGGAGAAAACAACAGAAGGTGGATCAGATCAGCGTACCTCCAAGTGAAGTCTTCAGATTTTGTAGGAAAGGAGCCGGTCCCACCTGAGACTGACCTGCTGGAGCAGCATCTCTGGGGGATGCGGTTGGTCCTCTATTTTGAGCAGGGACCTCAGTGAATTCTGATACATCTCAAGGTTTGAGGACCAATGATGATAACCCATTATGCAGATGGTGAAACAGAGACTCACCGAGGTCAGGCTTATTGGCTGGGGTCTCAAAACTAGTAAACAGTTTCTTGTCTGTGAAATGGAGAGTCCTTAAGGTTCCTTTGCACTAAGCACTCCAAGGCTATCAGGTTTTTTTTTTTGAGTTGTTATTTAAAAGCCCAGGTAGGACTGCATAGCGGTCAAGACAGAGCACAGGCAGGAACTCACTAAAAGCCCCATAGGCCTGGGTCATGGTTGGGTTTCTGAGTCTGGTGCTGACCCCCTCCTGCACATGCTCATCTGACCCGGTGGTCCAGGGTTACGTTGACCTGGGGACAGGGCTGCCGGTTTCTTTGAGGCTCCCTGGAGAAGCCCCACTCTGCCTCTCCTATCCTATTAAAAGTGACAGCCACTTCCTTATACTTGCCCAAAGAGAGGGTAAATCTCAGTCTCAGCCTCAGGACTTCCAGAAGATGCCTATCCTTGGTGCCTTAGAGTAAACTGCTTCCCAGGTCACTGTGTGACTCAGGATGGGGACACTACAGGTCCTGCCTGGGGACCTTTAGGGTTGAATTTCAAAAGCAATTGCTGATAGAACACCTGAGACCCAGGACTGAAGGTTCTCTTTAGGGTCCTAGGTTCTTATGCAGATGCATCTATGGCAAATGCATACACACACACACACACACACACACACACACACACACAAATACTGGCAACCTTTAATTTTCCCTCTGAGCACCGTCCTAGAACTTTTGCAAGCTGCTGAGGACTTGTGGGCTCAGAGATACTTGGGACCCTGATTTTTCTTCTGGAAACAAGAAAAAAATAAAAAGAGTCCAAAAACGGAAGCTCCAGTTCTGTTCTGAAATTCCTCCCCGCTCCTGAGCTTGAAGAGAGAGCATCAAGTCACGGAGGCGGCTGAGCAGCGCCCCTGTGCACGTTATGTGTTCAGGGTTTGCTCTTTTGGACCTGGGGGTTTCTGAATAACATGTCATGTGCTGAGTCCTCAGTGCCAGGAGGTCCTCCTCGGTGCCATCTGCTTTAACTCTTCACTCCCCAGTGGATTCTGCCCGCGCCAGCCGTGAGCCGCATGTGGAACCGGTTACCAGCAGAGGGCAGCGGAGGGGTTAACTCTCCAAATCACAGAATGAAGAGAAGAGGAGGGGAGACCTGGTTTGGAACAATTTTTCTCGTAGCCTGTGCAGGAAGCGTTCTCCACTTCGCCTGAGAGCCGGGCACAGGAGCAGCATGCGAGCTCAGGAATTTTCCTTCGTGCCCTGGCCCAGAGCATGGTGATGGGGGAGTTCACATCAGGCTGAGCATCCCTGAACTTCCCCAGCACAGGGCTTTCCACCAATCCCTCCACCCTCAGGGAACCTGAATGGGGGGGGAAAAAAATCACAGTCCAATATGGAGAACAGCTTTGATGATGTTTCTTACCTCTCTCCCCAGAACCTGGGATCCTTGTCACCAGGCAAAAAGCAGAGCAAGGAAAACACCATCACAGTAAGTGGCTTCCCGCCGCGGGGTGCTCCCAGGTTTGGGCAGCAGGCCGGGGGCATGGGACCACAGCTGGTCTGTTGCTATGGCAACGTGGGCCGCCAAGCAGAAGTGATTGCCCGGGCCTGGAAACCGGGAAGTTCCAAAAAGCTTGAATTGAGCTGAAGTTCTCCAGCCCCCCACCCCATTCTTCTGTCAATTTCCCATTTCCACCTTCTCCCCCCCCCCCCCCCCCCGTGAAGGAGTGGGAGGAGGGTTTGTTGGGGATGATGCAGAAGCCATTTTTGTGGGGCGGGCAGGGGAAGGTACGAGAGTGCGGGAGTGGGTTGAAGGGGGTGGACCATGCTGTGTGCAAGTGATGTGACGTGCAAATTACAGCCACGGCGGGGTTGCTTTTGTGCAGGGAAACTTCTGGAAGATGTCAAAGTTAAAAGCAAGAGAAAGCGCCCTAAGAATAGAGTTCCTGGGAGTTCCTAATGAGAAGCAGGCAGCTTCCACTTAGATGGGCCAATCTGCCCCCCAGGGCTCTTCCGAAACCCACTGGGGACCCCCCCCCCGTGTGGAGATGAGTGGGAGCCCCTCCCCCACCTCCCCATCCCAGCTCTATGCTGAACTGAGGAACTGGACATGGATGGGGCCCTCCCAGTGGGGAGGGGAGCTGTCCAGCTGCTCAGACAGCCCACAACTCAGAGACTTGAGAAAGCGGGCGGGCGGGGGGTGTCCCAGGTTTTGCTGTCTTCACAAGGGCAATGGTTTTGGAAACGGGATTACTCTCTTGGGCTCCATCTCACACCATCCTGAACCCTTCTGACCACCCCCATGGAGCTCAAACCAGGAGAGGTGCATTCCTGCCCAGGATGGAAGATTCTGCTTTGCAGGAAAAGGAGAGTGAGGCAAACAAGAACAACAACACTGATAGCTTTTATGTGCATTGATAACATATRAACAGTGTTCCGAGTGACTCGTTCTGCCTACTAGCTATGTGAGGTGTATGTAGTTCATATCATCAACAGAGAAGAGTGATTGTGGACCAGGACTCTGGAGCCAGAGTGTCACTTAGGGCACTTAAAAGCTGTGCAACAGCTGCAGCGAGTTACTCAGTGTCCACATCTGTGAAATAGGGAATCGGGGCTCCTGAGACATAAGATGGTACGAGGACTGAATGGATCTGTATAGGCATAGCACTAAAGCAGAGCCTGGCACATAGCCTTGACCACATGAGCTTGAATATCATCCTGTTACAGATGAGGAAGCTGAGACTGTGGAGCGGCCCTTAGGATTCAAACCTGTGCTCTCGCCTACTGGCAGAGCTCCCTTCTGGAGCCAGCCTGGTTTCTCGGGTCTCAGTCCCTCTGGACCTCCCTGTCTCTGTTTCCTGAGGGCTGGGCAGAGAGGCTCAGCCTGCTGGGACTGTGGGCCTGCAGCAGCCTCTTAGTTACTAGGGGAGCTCCTGGGGCCAGGCAGGGCAGCCCCAGGGTGCAGACTTACAGAGGGTATAGTCTCCATGGTCAAAATTGACACCAGCTGCCCCAGAATGCCAGGGCAAAGCAGGAGCAGAGTGTCCCAAAATAGGGGGAAAGGATAAAGAGGAACACATGGTGGTGGTGGTGGGAGGAATGAGTGTTACGCTGGCCACAGTTGTCATAAAGACCTGGAGTGGCGGTACCTGGGCCATGCGGTGGGGCACCTGCCAGGCTCTGTGGCTCAGCCAGAGCTCTTGCCGATGGACCAAATGAGCCTTCCTCAGAATGGCACACCTTGTCCTTCCCTGCGAGGTGCCTCCCCTGTTCCTTCCCACCGACCTACGTCTCATGGCCCGTGACGTGTACTCGAGGCCTCCGAGATACTTATTGAAATTGCAGGTTCCTGAAAGGTCTCCAGACCTACGGTGGGTCTCTCTGATGCCGGGTCAGGGAATTCTGCATCGTCCCCAGCACTTCCAGAATTTTTCAATAAACACTCCTGCCCTGGAGGAATTGCTGCTGGGGGATACTGAGCAAAGCTGTGGGAAGGGAGTCCTCGGGCTGGCCGAGGGTCCCAGAGAGAGTGAGGAGCCAGGTCTCCCACCCGCCAGCCCAGGATGCCTCCCAGCCTGTCACTGGCCACCAGGGTCYCACGTGTCTTCAGTTGACGACTTCTGTGCTGCTGCTCTCTCCCTGTGCCCATCCTCTTTCTCTGGGCTTTGGTCCTCCAGAACTCGGGGCTTCTGCAGGAGGACATGTCCAGAAGGAAAGGATGGCCCTGTTCCCCAGGAGGCTGGGACGTGGGCTTCCCTCTCCTTGGCATGTACGGTCAAGGGGAGCGACTTTTCCTATGCTGTCTCATCCTCAGGAGGCCCCGGACAGCAAAGGGTGGTATGTCCACGGCCCGAGGAGCAAGAACGGAGTTTGATTCTGAAGGTCCATAGCCTGGAGCTGGTTTGGAAGGGGTAGACACGTGGGTGGCCTGGCAGCAGCGGGCAGGGACTGACAGCCTTGCCTGGCTCTCATCTCTTCTGTCAGTCACGTTGGGCTGGCAGGTGGAGCAGGCTGTTTGATTGGGAGTGACGGGTGCTAATGGCAGCTCAGAGCTCTGGGCATAAGTATGTCATGTCTGAATCTTAAGGACTCCAGGAGAAAGGACATCAAAGCCACAGGGCCATACATTCTCCTGGAAGGAGAATTTGGAGACTCTTGTGATCCTCAGCCTTGACTCCCTGGCAGAGCCCAGGTGAAGCCACAGGACCCTGGTAGGAGCTAAAGGGCTGGGGATGGGCCCTCGTGGTCCTGCTCTGCTCACCCAGAGTCCCAGCTCTCCCCCACCCTCCTGGATCAGCTCCCCTCCAGGGAGAACATTCAAGTCCGCTCTGCGGGAGCCCTTGGATGTCAAACTGGGTTCCATCAGTCTGCAGGCAACCTGCTCAGACATGCTGCTCAGAGGAGGCTGTGGCCTCGGTTCTCTGGGCCTCCCCACCTTAGCCTTCCAGGTGGGCCATGCTTGTGGAGTCTGGCGCCAGATCACCTGGATTCAGACCCTGCTCCATCATTACCCAAAGCTGTGTAATACTGTGTAAGTAACTTACTGTCTCTGTGCTTCGGTTTACCTGCCTGTACGATGGGGCTAACAACAGCCCCTGTTGAGGCTTACAGGAGTTCATGTGATAAAGCACTTGGGAAGGTGGCTGGCACAACCTTAGCTATTGTTGAACAGAAAGCAGCTCCTTGGGTCATTTCCTGTGTATTCAAGGTACAAGATGGCCTTGGTGCTCTTCCTGTTCTAAGAGGCTTTGGGAGGGGACGGACGGCTTCCCAGATGTGTAGCCGGACCCTGGTATCAACTGCCTGGAAAATGTCACCCGGGAGGGGACAGCGATCCACACATGGCAGTTTCTATAGGGAAAGCCCTGTCTTGTCTTCTCTTTCCTGCTTGGGACTTGTACCCCTGCTCGATGGAGCACTGAGGTCCTCCCAGCCCTTCTGAGCCTGGGCTTGAGGCCTGGTGGTCCCAGGTCAGAGCAAGTAACTTAAGTGAAAGTAGTAGCCAGGGATGTCAGAAGCCAGCTCTGCACCCTGCGCTGCCCCTCTCCAGCCCCATGACAGTGGGCTGGAGCCTGTGCCTCTCTGAGCCTCCGTTTCCTCGTCTGTGTCTGAGTGGCACCAGGCTGCTGCAGCAAGCATGTCAGCTCTGATTGCTTCCTGGACATGCGCACTCCACACAGCCCTCGCCTTCCCCCTCTACTGTTGCCACCTCCTTCTATGTCCACGGCTCTACCCCCTTCCCATCCCAGTGGATGGGAACACTCCTCTTCACTGGGGCCAGCCACCTTGGGGTTTGTCAACCTGGGCACTGTTGGCATTTCGAGCTGGATTGCTCTTTGTTATGGGGGGCTGTTCTGGGCATTATTGATTGTTTCTCAGAAGCCCTCGCCTCTACCCACCAGATGCTAATAACAGCCCTAATTATGACAACCCAAAATGTCTTCACATTGTCAGGTGTCCCCTGGGGTGTGGGCAAAATCACTCCTGAGTGAGAGTCACTGAATCAACTTCACGGTCCCATTAAGTTTATCTGCAAAGCATTTCTAGATTCGTCTCTTATTTCCCCTTTCCTGGACTGCCGAGCCATGGTTAGGACTCGTCCACTGCACAGCCTTCTCCAGTAGCCACAGCCTCTAACGTCCCCCACACCCAGATCCCTGGCCCTTCCTATAGCCTCCATGGGAGATTCAACCCAAAGAACCACAGTGACTTACTATCAAACCTGCGAGGGCAGACGCTGTACCTTACATCGCCTGTCTCCAGTCATCGCACTAAGAAACATTTACGGGGCACTGCCCCTCTGTGTACCTGATGCTGTACTAGACACGAAAGAAACTGCAGAGGAAAGATGCTCTCCCTCCTCTAGGAGTCGGGCTGTTAAAGAAACGTTAACTAAACCAGAGTGAGAAATACTGTCACGAACGTGCACGTGCAGGTGGCTGGGAGGATCTGGCATGGCACGTGTCACCGAGTAGCCATTCAACAAATGTTCAGAATGATGAGCAAAGGACGTCATGGCTTGAGTTCTGCGGTCAGCGGATCTGGATTCAAATATTTCACTTCTGTGATCCTCAGCTTTTCCTATAAAATTCTCACAGTCCCTGCCTATCGGGTTGTTGGGAAGATGAAATGAGAATGGAAGCCAAGCTCTTTTCCAGGTGCCTGATCAGGGCCCCCCAGGAGGCCAGTGAGGTGCAGTTCTCCAGATGCCCACCAGGAGGTGCTGGGAAGTCCCTGGGGAACAGCYGGGAGTGAGAAAACCTGAAACCCAAACTGATGGCCTCCAGGAATGGAATAAGCAGCAAAGGATGTGTCCAGGGCCGCCCTGACTTTCCTGACTTCACTCCTGTCCCCCAACCCAACCCAGCCAGCTGTCCTTCCCTGGTGGTTACAGGATCTTTGGAGGAACCCCTCACCTTCTAGACCTCTGACCCTCCTAGTTTCCGACTCTGGAATCCTACCGGATTTTAGAAGGAACGATGGCGGAAT